GGTAAGGCCGCAGAAGCCCTGCCTGGCATCCTGGGTAGCATCGTCTCGTGGCTGCTGAGCGCTCTGGCTAAAACTGCCACATGGCTCAGTCAAAACCTGTGGGCAGCCATCGTCGCCGTGGCGGGTTTGGTGTACGTAGCGGCTAAGGAATTTTTAACCAAATGAGCCCCACCCCGACCGCGACCCCGCCAACCACCAGGGCTGTTTTACGATCGATGTGCTGCTGATTGGACGCCTGAACGTGTGGGGGTGACCCCACAGGGGGTGTTGGTTGAACCCTAGGCTCCGGGGGTGGCGCCACTATACCCATTTCACCGGTCGTGGGTGGTGGGACGTGGGGGACGTTGACATCAAAATTGACTCCCAACTTTTGGTCCGCCGTGGCTATGACTATTTCGTTGTTGTAGCCCACCACTTTTTACTCTCAGTTGCATATGCGCTCGGAGCCATGTACAGTCCCACATCGAAGCCATGGCGTATTCAACCGTCTTGGTATCGTTTGATGGCACTCGGAGATCAACTGGAGAATTGATAGCATCCTCAACGTTAACAAACGAACTGTTTCTGGCGTCGTAAGCAGTCCCCTTACCGAGGATGTTGGACTTTTTAGTCATCCCAACAGCCCCACGTGCGTTCGAACGAGTCGTTCAATCTGGTGACACCAGCACGAGTAAACCCTTTCGACGTGTCCAGCATGAACTTTTTCCAGTCATCCGCTGCCCCCTGCTCGAACCTCCAGACTCGGTAATCCTTGCTGTTGTTGAAAGCCATGTAACGGTCATCCCACTCGTTCGTTGTGAGGTGATGATACGACTTGTCACCCCATTCTTTCAACTTCTTGCTGGCTTCCACGAGGGGCATGTTGTGAACGATGGGGATACCCAACCCGTGGTTCGGTCCCGGCAACCGCCAATCCGTCTTCGGGTTTAGTTCGAATTCGTTGCAAATACGTTCGTAGGCCCGTCTATCGTACTGGTTGTTTACTGCGTTCCATGCTTTGTCCTGTGGGACTGGAGCGCTGATCTCTTTAAGGATACGCCTGACCTGGTAGTACATGTGGAACATGAACACAGACTGACTCAGCGGTCCACGCCGAGTGTCGGTCAATGTCACACCACACCCCGTTGTAGCGCACCACACGGCGAAGTTGAGTTGATTCTGCCAGAACTGCATCGGGTTGTTGAACCAAGCATGAACTACCTTAGCGTTAGTCACCGAAAACCTATACCGATTGAACACATCTATGAACTGGGCGTCGAAATACATCCCATCAGCGACCACGATCTTCATGTGGGGGAAATCTATGTCCAGTTTAGGGTAAAACACTCCAGGGGAGTACATTTTTAAACTATTATATAATGAGTTTATATACTCTAACATGTACATAACACTTCCTGGAATAACGAGCGCGGAGGCCGTTCAGCTGGCGATACGCGATCGATAACACGTCGGGTCAACTCGAAGTCGCACTGTGCGATATCACCTACCTACCGCGATGGACTAACCTCAACGCCAGCAACAATAAGCTGTTCGTCAGTAGAGCTCGCAGCCAGATAACTGACGGCTACTACAGCGTGTGCTCTCTAAGCGACGAGGTCTTCAAGCCCCTGGGAGCCGAACTCAAGATGAACAACTCAAACGGCACAGTGGTGTTAATCAACAACGGAAGAAACTCCTTGAGGCTCGGTCGACCATTGGCGAGGACACTCGGTATGCCGCCTGACGAGATAAAACCAACAACTACCGTCACAGGCACGAAGTTACCCGACCTTGTACCATACAGAGAGCTGTGCATTCATCTCGGTCAGCTGAGCACAACGGACAACATTCAAGGGGGTCACCCTTCCACGATACTGAGAGCCGTACCCGTGAAAACGGAGAAATACAACGACGGTAGAACCCAGTCGTTTTCACCGCGGCAGTATAAGAGGTTAACCCAGGGCAACATCCCTGTGCTGATAATATCGGTGTTAGATATAAATCATAATCCCGTGAATATAGGATACCTCAGCATAACGCTGCACATAAAATGACCAGCGCACAAGGTCCCGGAATGAAGTTGAAAAAATGCATCAATGTGGGGATCTCCGACCTCGGGGACACACGCAGATTCGATGACCCCGGAGTAGATGGTAAATTGTACGCCTTGCAACTGAAAAACAACATTTACAAATGCGTTGAAGTCCCCTCCATCGGTGGTACTAGAAACCTAAGTGATATAGTAGATACCTCAAGAGGGGTCGTCAACACTCGGTACACCCTAGTCAACACCGGTGATGATAAATGGATAATATACCCATCGTTCGGGGCAAACTGTTCGACTTAGAAGATGTTGAGAGTACTACGTGATGGCCATCAAACAAAAATATACAGTATTCCCTTCACCCGAAGATGACAAGTGGGTGTTGTTACCCGCTAAAGGCGACTGGTTTCTCAATATTAGGCTCGGCTCCCCTCGTGTTCACGGAGAACAAAGACAACCACCTAAACAAAGTCGTGAACAACGGAACCCTGCTCGTGGCTTACGTCCCGGCTCAGAGGCGTAGCGTAATCATCAGCCCAGTCTCCAGTATGGCAGCCCACATGCTATCGAGTAAACCGGGGAGTGCAAGGCGTGACATTGCAGTTGGTGTCTGGTTGGCGAGGTCAACATCCTGACGAGCCTACGGATAACGCCACTCTGATCATCAAAGTCTACCTAGGGGAGTCATTGCGGGATGATGTCGAAATCGTGAAGGGGATCAAACTCGGGTGGGGGAAACGACACCAGTATCACGTTTGCACCGTTTACGTGCGGGTGGGTGTCGACTCCAAAACCAGTCTGCAGGGCATCACCGTGATCGTGGAAGACACGATGTCACTAAACAAGATCTTCCTACCCGACAACATACACTTCATGGGGGTGAAGTGCACCCCTGAACTATTATCAGAAAAACAACTGGAAACTATCTCGTAATAGTATTATAGCAATGTCTTGGCTTCACCCCAACGCTACGCTTAACGACTTAGGGGACACGGAGGGATTCGATCAGCCTGGTGAGGAAGACACCTTATACATCCTGCACTTCAAAGACAACGTGTATAGGCGGGTGTCGTTATCAGATTTTAAAGAGCCTGAATGGTTAGTCAACTTAACCCTCACCGCACCTTATGTCTCTTTTCGTAGTGGTGGGCCTATCACTAGTGATATCACCGAAATTAAGAACAGCGGTATCTTGCTCGGGGGGGTTTCAACCCCAGGGTTCTCAAACTATAAGAATTTCCCGAACCCCAAATCATCCGGGTTACATGTTAGATACAACCGGGATTGCAGAGTTAACATTTGGGACATACACTGGCCTACCATTTTCTAGGTCTATGCCTCCAGGCTCCACATTAATCATAAAACTCTTTTTTAAAGCCGCCAGTGTTTTTCCTATATGGGACCTTTTATCTGGGGTGAAAATAGACTTATCTATTGGTTCATTTAATGGCCGCCATTGTAGTATCGTAATACGGCGGGACTCGGCCCCCGGTAGGGGGTTGCTGCCCCCCTTAATAAGCCCCTCTATATTTCGTATAGAACAAAAGTTACCTATTGACATTTTCGATATTCTCCTACCCGAGAAAATAGGCCTTATAAGCCTCAAGTACGTTGATCAACTATTAACTGATACCCAATTAAAAAATATACCACCAGATATATTATAGGCACACAGAATGGGGCTGTACCCAGTCGTAGAAGAAGTCGCGAAGACCCTGGAAACCGTAGACGGGTTCCGCTTGAGACAGTTATGTGATGTAAAACGCCAACTAGAACAAGACCGCGACACGCGGAAAGCACTATATAAGAAGTACCATAGAGCTTTCAATGCCGTGGACGGGACTGATACTGCCCTTATGGCAACCAGCATGGGGCTAGGGGCGGCAGGTGTTGGGTTGTTAGCTACCATCGTGGCTGCACCTATAGTGCTAGGTATTGAAATAACAGCTGGGGTGACAGGGGTGTTAGGGTTGGTGCTTAAGTTTGCATCACGCAGACTGCATCGTAAGGCGTTGAAACACGACGAGATCAGGGTTCTGGCCTAAGCAAAGCTGAACACGGTAAGTGAGCGTATTTCCACGGCACTCACTGACAGTAAGATCTCAGAGGAGGAGTTTCGTTCAATCCTCTCTGAACTCACAAAATATAACAAAATGAAACAAGAGATTCGATCCAAGTCTCGTAAGTCTGCTATCAGCGAGGGCGAGAAAAAAAAGTACATAGAACAGGGGATACAAAAAGCCCGGCAAGCCTTTATTACAAACACCAAAGAGATCATAGGCGATTCACATTAAACTGTTTCATCGAGGTCAACGTGACATAGTGCCACGTGTAGCGATGATGCAATCCCAGTATAGACCCGTTAAACCGAGATACTTCAGCTAAGTCCCTGGTAGCTCAGTCGGTTGAGTGGTGCGGCCTATTATAGTTTGCGTGTGGGGTTCGTATCCCGCTGGTGTCTCAACTTTTATACTTTTATAGGTCGGGGCTCAAAGTAGTAGGGCAATGGTAGGAGATCTAAGGGCCTAACAAAAGCCTTATTTGTGAAATAAGGCTTTGCAGAGGCTTTTGTTGGACTTGATCCCGTACCGCTATTCCCCCTACTACTCCGACAGTCAATTTTCTGGGCCTACCTGCGCCTCCCTGGTGCTCAATGCCATATCCATTTGCAACACGATAAACAGTGGACAAAGGGATGCCTGTTCTACTTGAAATCACTTTAGCTGATCTGATGTCCTTGTTATAATACTCTAAAATCAACTTCCTCTTCTCTAAATCATCCATACTGAGGATCACTGAAAATGTTGTCTGCTAGCAAGTAAACAAAGGGGGATAACTCTTCACAAACTAATGAAAAGGATTAACGGAGTTGTCTCTCTTGAATGAAACCAAGCACTTGATAGCTGGTCAAGGTTGTTTATACTAGAAATCAAATTAAACATATTCCTAAAATTCTCAATAATTTCTGGTCATACTATATATGGCATATTATTTCTCACTGTTAAGCCCAAGATTGGCTGAGGAATACAAGTGGAATTGTACAGCCAATACTCAAGGGGGAATAGGGAACAATATTCCCAATGACAATTTGGTGGAAGTTCTTGTAAAGAAAGTAAAGAAGATTTGTGTACATAAAGCAAACGCGACTTATGCAACAGCCAGAACCGCAGCACTAACTACACAAATTCAGGATGAAATATGCACCATCATTGAACACGAGGCAGGGGCCTGGAACAAGAAGGGTTCACGATCCAAGCAAACCAAATGTGCTGATCAACATACCTCTGATTGTGCAGAAACTACAAAAGGCTGACATTTTCTCATACATTCCTGGAAGGTCATATGCTGGATTTCCCAATTTTCAAGATCTCTTTGCCAGAGTCAATGTCTTGAGCCTACACAAATGGATAACAGACCAGAAAAATAGACTTTCCTTGGAAATTATATGAGTCATTCTTATCACTTTTTTTTCAGTTTTCAGAAAATACAAGTGATATTTCTTTTTTCAGTTTGGCCTCTGTGTTGGAGAGGTTACAGAGACAATGAAAACTTACTGAAAATGTCAAATGAAAAGGGATGCACTGCTGCATTGTTGCCCCGCCTCAAAGTGGAAGGCGTATATAGGAATGAGTGGATTAGGATCATACCTCATAACTGGTTGAAGATATTCCTTTGAAATGTGTATGAAGGAACTGGTGAACCAAACCTTGTCCTATTGAAAATTCCAAAAATCAAATTGTTAATGATGCAACTACAACTTTTTCTGTTTATAATGTTGAGAAGTGCTTCGAAAATTATAAGGTGGGGAATATCAATATTTCAAGACTGTATTTTCATGTCATCAAAGTACTGTTACAATTGTGTTTTGTACACACTCATTTGTGGTAAATGTAAACATTCAATAATGGTGAAAAAGTAAACGAAGGATGACAAACTCTTACCATTTTTTTTCTGACATATCAACTGCCAACTTCCCTGGATGTAATGTCGACTGTACATGACATATTGTTAAATAGGTATGAAAAACTTCAATCACATCACAAAAATATCATGGTTTTGATACAGAGCAACTAATATAATTGCAAACAAGCATTCAAGTTATTACCAGGTACTTTTAATGAGATTAAGCACTGACTCCAATGTGAAGTCAGTCTGAATCATCTGAATCACTTGAACTTTGTTCACTTGAAATATCCATAATCATCTAACACTTCATTTCGTATTTTGCTGATTTCTCTTGCACAGTTGTTGGACCAAATGGGAAGTTCTTTGATGATGTCATCGATGGACACAAGGTGTTCAGATTTGTCCACGACTGCGCTGATGACATCCTCATTGATTCCAAACACAATATCTGGGTTCACTATTGTGCATGTTGAAAACAATTTGAACATGTAAGAGTGTAGTTTATGTCTCAGTAACTCTAGCTGATCATCCTTCACTTCTCTCTGACATGTGTCCGATATATCATCCTCTTGAGTGTCATATGCATAGTCCACCATCACAAGGTTATCTCGACATTCTTCCAAATCTCAATCGCAAGTCTGGGCACAGACGTAGCAGCAACGATGCTTCAGCGTGATGACCTCATGCTTGCTGCAGTAAGATTGACAAATCATTTTGTGGCGGCAAGATGTTTCTTTGACAACCTTTAGCAGTTCATTTTCTACTTTTTTAAGCTGGCCTTTATGTGCTTTGTAGAGAACAAGCTCATGAGCTGGTGTTCCATCACGCCCTGATGGCCAGTTTGCTGAACAAAAGAATCCAGCTCAAAGGGCAGCCCATAGTGAATGACATGATTTACATTGTGAAAGTTTACACCCATTCCAGCTGCATTAGTGTAAATCAACACACAAAGTTTACTGTCTTGAGTCACCTTGGAATGAATGTCTTGCTTAATAGCATCTTTTGTCTTGCTATGATACATGTCAAAAAGACCTGTCTGCCATCCAAGGACTTGGGCAAAAGCATAATCACTTTAGAACATTCAGCAATTGTCCAACAAAGGATGACAAATCGTGAAGACCCTTGTTTGGATTTTTTTAAGCAAGTCGATTAGACATCCTAAGTTTTCTGAAGCATCAGTTTGGTTAGGCAAAAGTTTGGATGTGATCTTGATATTTTTCCTGTCTGGCGAATCCAATATTGTGACATAGTTACCCATTCTGAATGAAAGTTGCTTCATTATTGATCTCCTCTGCGTTGGGACAGCAGTAGCAATGAGCGCTATATTTGCTTGAGGGCACAGTGATCGGGATTCTCCGATCTTGGAAAACCACTTCCTGAATGGTTCATCTCCAGTGGTCTTCTCACCCCTATTAAGAAATAAATGGAACATCCATAAATACACAATTTCATTGTATTTTACAAGATTAAATTTCACTAATACTTGTGACATCATCCTATGAATAGTTTGAGTGTAATTTTAAGTAGGTTAATGTCATTGTAACTCTCCATTCCTTAAAAACAATATGCTTCAGCTCCATTTTTTTATGGAATGGACATTTACGTAATGTATGGTGAAATGTATTATTTTGCCATTTTAATTAGTGATCATTTCACAGGCCTAAAATTTGTAAATTGGTAATGTTTGCTACTTGTTTCATTGTTATTATGCTCCTGAATTCTGCTATATGCTTCACTATCAAATTACATTAGCATAGATCAGTAATATAAAAATCATTCAGAAAAGTATTATATTTCATATTATATTTTAAGCGTATTTACAATTTACTTTTATTTTTAAATGAAAAGTGAGTAAGATTTCAGTGATTCAAAATATTTAAGGTAACATCAAATTATATTTACTTTAAATTCAATAGAATTAAACCCAATTTTTTAACAACAATTAGCAATTCCTTTATGAATCGATTTACTAAATATTTGCAAAATACGTACCACTGCAGAACGGTGTGTGCTTCGTCAACTACAATCGTACTCAGGCTTGCTTGATAAACCTCATTTTGAAGCATAAATCTCCATCGTTTGTCACCAACAAGCAGCTCAGGACTTCCAAAAACAAAATCGAAATATCCCTGCTCAAGTAAGTCATGATCCTTGGCATTTTTGCCAATGTACGTTGCCGTGAGCCCCAATGAAGTCAGCTTGCAACATTGTTCATCCATAATAGAAACGAGAGGGCAAATGATAGCGATTATCATTTTGGCTTCACTTATACATGGGAGAATCTCATAAGTTAGAGACTTGCCACTACCAGTTCAAGTCCAAACAAAAACATCTTGTCGGTTGATTCCAGCACTCTCTATTGCTAGTTTCTGATTTTCAGTTAAACATGAAATACCGAATCTATCCTTTTTCGCAAGTTGATGAACTAACTCCATATTGGATCTAGCTCGATGCAACACGTGTTCTGATTGGATAGAAAGAAGGGAGATAATTTGTGTTGCATTTTTTTGCAGCTAGGGGGATTTTAGGAGGACCGGGAAATATGGCCGTATCAGAACAGAGGTTCGTAGGAAGATATGACAAGTGACCTCTGTGGGAAAAGAATGCCAGCATTAATGATGAGAGGCCAAGAGGAATCATAAGATACTCACATTGCTCCATCACAGAACTGAACTTGAAGGTTACTGCCATCTATACCAGTGATAACACCTGGAAGGTAAGTCAGAGCCTCATAATCTCTGAGTGCCAGTATCCTCTCACCAAGTGCTAGTTTGTGTCTTCGAGTGAAAGCCCCAAACATGTGCACCGGACTCTGCATACTGTTGGTTCCATCACACCATTCTACCCTGTATTTTGGTTTTGCAGGAACCTTTTCAATAACTGTGCCTACAGCAGAGAAAGTATAAGTCAACTTTGTTCATATTTTGCACAATTACTTTTGAATCTATCTAATCTGATGAATTATCTCTGTAAAATGTATATATCATTGTGTCTGTCATAGGCACAAGAAATGCTTCTGTTTTTTAAGTATCATCAACAATGATATTACTTCTTTAAATACTACCTTTAACACTTGATTAGCCTTTTTCCTGAAACTTGTTTCTGATACACATATTTATTTGAATGAGAAATTATGAAATCTACCGCTTTGTGCTGTCTTCCCCAAGCGCTACCCGAAGGAGTTGTCTCCCCTTACAAATGCGGGGAAACTTCATATTTTATTATAGAGTACCGTTTTGGGGGAAGGATGGGCGGGCCTGAGGTGAGAGATAGTTTTCCCGAATTATCATAAGGCTCTCTACCACCTGATTAGCCGAATTCCATATACACCCGGACTAGCATCGGAAGACAACCATTCTACTCACAAATCTAGATGTTTACTAATAAGACAAATGGACCTGGGTTTGATCATTATGACAACACACCAGAACATTGGTGATGTCTGTTTTCTGGCTTTTCCTGGTATCTCTTCTCAAACAAACATGTTAGGCCTGATGCAGAAGCATGTTCTCTCAATCATAGAGGTAAAATTCCCCAGAGGAAAGCAAGGCAGTAAGGATAGACTGGGGAACATCTATTGACCCTAACTTGAGCAGCCTCACAAGTCTGGGTCACATCTCTCAGGTATAATCACTGGTAGAGAACTTAGTTACAGTGAGAGTGGAGTCTTTGTGATTTTAGCATCAGCAAGGGAAGGGTAAGGTACGATAAATGGCCTGTATACTTACAAAATCAACATTACAGGAGAGTTGAATTCACGTTTACTTACATTAGGTTTCCATCAGTAACAAGTAAATATATACTTGGCATCATTAATCAAGGGTCAAGCTATTGGTAACACTATTTCTTAAAAGTTGTAAAATCTTCATTTTTGTTTGAAATATACACAACTGAATGTTATACAAACTTTCTTAACAGTATGGAAACACATATCAGGCCGTTAAAATGTCATTATTACGTTCTTTAACTCATTAAGGCCGAGAGACGCATATATGGGGCAAATTAATCAGCTCCTCACAGCGAGTGACGTGTTTATGGGGCAAGTAATTAGCAGTTTCTCACAGCGAGAGCCACATACAGTCGTCAACAGAAAGCACCTCTTATTCAGCGAGAGACGCACATGTGTGTTGTACTTTTAAAAATCGCACTGTACATATTATTTCAACCAATTTAGCAGTACTGAGCAAATGTTAGCTTTTTCTTACAAGCAATCCCACCTTTAGTATGAATCAGAAGAAGTATTTAAAGTGTTTTGATAACAATTGCTAATCATTATCATAGGCTTGTAGAGCGTTTAGCAAATGAACGCATGTCGTCGAGAAAGGGGATTATGATGTTTTTACAGAGGTAAGTGCCTGGTCCTCTTCCTTGGGAATGGATACTAAAATACTTCATTATGCACCTTGATTGAATTAGATGTAATGGTTTAGAGGTTACTAAAAATTATATTTCCTTCAACTACCTAATAAATAGGAAACAATATACGAAATTTCAAGGACATACAAAGAATTCAAACACAATAGAATAGTTTGAATTTACTTTTTAGGCATCATTACGTTGTCATGTTTCATATACTGAAACATAATGTATAAACACAAGTAATTATACATCCAAGCTCAAATAGATTAAACATAATTGAACTTACTAATTTGAAGTTTACTGAATTGTAACTAGTTGTTTTCCATAATCTAAAGTTCGTAATGTTACCTAAGCGAATATAAAGTGATAAGTCACACCTTTGCCTCGAATACATATATACATGCCAGTGTTATTACAACAATGAAATGTTTTACTACGTTTGTTACAAAAGACAGTAAGTTGGTAATTCAAAACATTGTCACACATGGACAGAAGTAATATCATAAGTTATTACATGTAAGCCATACAAAGGTATTTCAAGCATTTTTGTTCAAGCTGTTGAAAGTTTCATGTTGATTTGAATTGTCAGTTTTCTATGCAATTTACATGAGCATTCTGTAAAACGTTTGTATTTGATCTGTGTAATTATCCAATCTGGTGCAATTATCACGTGTATCAATCAACTCAGTCTCTATTGATCCATCGTCAATAAAAGCTGGATAGTATATCAGTAACGGTATCGATACACATGCGTATAATCATTCACGCAGATTACAGTAATGAGATAATTGAACGCCTCTTTCGACCTTGAAATAACAGCCTCCGGTAGAATGCATATGTAGTTACGTCCTTGTTGAAAGGTTTGTCCCGTGACAAGTGTAAAATAAACAGATGCGCTGTTATATCATTGGACATCTTGCTTTATGGAGTCACACCCCTCTCTTTGATGTGTATACATGCATGCACATCTGTAATCTTATGAACCTCGTTTGCATTCAGTAAAGATATAGGCACGCCCACCTTCATAAATATTGGGGTGGGGTGTCAACTGCTAAGTTTATACACTATAATAATTCAGTATAGTGTCACCTCGTGAATTCTGTAATCGTGTGTACTCTAGTTTGGATAGTCATTAAGTATCAAGGTGAAGATTATATTTACATGTACAGCAAACCATTATGTTTTATGTACTAGTTGTGTGCATAAAATGTATATGAAAATAAATACTACCTCTACTCAGTGGTTGGATTTCAATCGCTTTGTTTTACTTATCGAAAAACACTAAAATGAGGACAAATAAACTTCGCCAAAGTGACTATCTACTCCTATTTGTCTTATGTGTATATTTCATACATCGTTACCAGTGTCTATGTTTACAATACACAAACTGTTACATGATAGCTTGAGTTGATAAAGCCGAAACCCAGCATATCGACTGGTCAAGGATATAGCCAATAACTAATCTCTATCCAAGCTGCTGAGTGACCAAACGTGCTCTTCAGAAATTTCGCCCACGCCCGTCACCTTCCTTTCCTCTGTGACAGGTATCTCATGATACGATTGATTGGTGATAACATATGACCAGCCACTATACTGAACAGTTGAGATACCAGTTTATGTTTACAATACACAAACTGTTACATGATAGCTTGAGTTGATCTCCCATATCGATGGTCAAGGATATAGCCAATAACCAATCTCTATCCAAGCTGATGAGTGACCATATGACCAGCCCCCATCACCTACATCTGAACATTGTTGAGATAACATATGACCAGCCACTACATTGAACAGTTGAGATACTTCTATTCGGAAGAAATTTGATGACGCCTATCAATGTGACTCTTTGTTTTATGTCTATGCAAGGAATATGTAGTATACATTTTGTATATGTATGTTTGTATGGTCACGTATGTTTTCTGCATTAAATCTGTATGAAATAAAGTGCAATGCTATGAATGTGCTTTGTGCTAGTCACAGACTAGCGTTATAGTACTTTCATTAAAATAATTCGTAAACACTAGAAATGTATCGGCAAAAACCGCTATTTTAAATTGAATATGATAAAGTATGTAAGTAAATTCTTCTTTACAGTATGTCATTGTCATAGATGTTTTGTAAATTTAAACCTCACACAATGATATAAGAGAGAGAATTGTTAACGCGTGTCTCATCTGTTACATACAAAGAATACATGTGTATGCATACTGTGATAAAATATAAATGTACAAGCCGACAAAAGGTCTACAAGAGAAACTTGCAATAAAATTACATAAAGCTTGCAATACACGACATGTATTCACACCTGATTTCTTTCAACATATATCTTTACGACACAATTAAACAATCAGGACTTGTTTGTACGACTAGACAGTTTCCTGTGATCCCCGAAACCTGCCAGGGAAATCAGGTGTGACTAGCACTAATTAGTCTCGGCACAGAGTGGGCAATCAGCAAGGGCTTCCAGGTGTTGAGTAGTGATGGGGCTCTCGGGCTTAATGAGTTAACGTCTGATACATTCTGATACAAATGGCAAGGTATTTACCTTGAGTACTGTAATTGAGGGTCCCTTGGACTCATACTCTTAATTTTCAGTGTGTCAAGGACTACAAAATGGGGGTTCAGACACTTAAATATTATCATTAATAATAATTATAGTATAATGAGTAAGAGGCGACTAACAGGATCAGGTGGTCAGGCTCGCTGACTTGGTTGACACATGTCATCGGTTCCCAATTGTGCAGATCGATGCTCATGCTGTTGATCACTGGATTGTCTGGTCCAGACTCGATTGTTTACAGACCGCCTCCATATAGCTGGAATATTGCTGAGTGTGGCGTAAACCTAAATTCACTCACTCACTCCTGGTTATTGAACTTATTATCTAAGACCGCTACTTGGCTTAGTAAAAAACTTGTGGGCGTTATTCATCTCAGTTGCCAGCCTGTTGTACGTAGCTGCTAAGGAATTTTTAACCAAATAGTACATAAACAAATTGCGATCCTGCTTACCACAAGCGCGTTTTTCTGATAGATATGTTGTTGATATTTCATTATGACTGTTGGTGGTGCAGCTGATGACTAAGCACCTCTCTATGATTGTGCCCGTATGTGTTGACAGTGTCAGTACCCGGACGTTGACGCCTGGGTTCATGCATAGTTTTTGGTCGCTCGTAGCAATGACAATTTCGTTATTATAACCTACGAGCAATTAACTATTCCGAAAACATAGTCTACTTTCGACCTAGCATTCTCTAACTCATCCTGATATCTCTTGAAGGCACTCGGTAAATCTAGCAGAGATGAAATAGAATCCTCAACGTTCGAAATAAACTGTTTCTGCGCATTGAAAGCCATCCCCTGACCTACAATATTTGTAAGTGTTTGTACTTTAGTGCAGGGGCTTGTGTAATTCCGTTGGAATTGAATGTTAATTTTTTGGAACCAACACTAATTGTAATCACTGTTGAGTATGGATTCAGGAAAAACATGGTTCCATTTTTTCTGTTTGCTATAAGTGTCATTGTA